TGCGTGCGTGTGTGTGCGCGCACGCACGCGCACATATCCCGCACACGCACATATCCCGCACACGCACATATCCCGCACAGTTGGCACAGCTATTGTGTATCAGCAGAAGCAGCAGCAGAAGCAGCAGCACGAATGTGTAGTCCTGTTCAGCTCCCTAGCACACATAGCAATGATTGATAGTAATGAACCCTGAATGAAGCTATAAACATCCCTCCATGATGCTATATAATACATATGGCGGCCGCAGCAGAGTAACTTTAAAATATATAATTATTATTGCCAGCCACCCAAGCAAATGAATCCAGATAGTAGTGGTAGTAGTAGTAGTAGTACCTATACCTCTGTTTTGTCATCTTCACAGAGCAGGGTATGTATGCATTTTGTATGTATGTATGAACTAGGTGATGATAACAACCTCATCTATTATCAAGCGGAGACCATGCACAGGGCTGCTCGGAGATGTGCACACGTACATATGTATATATGTGGTGCAGACACGTATGCTGTACCTTATGTACATTGATGACGGCACACGTGCACACTCTGTCGTACACAAGGATATTATATACCTAGAGAACATACATATGTGGAGGGAGGGACAGGCACATTTCATCACTCCTCAAACACCCGAGGAGCCGGCAGGCGGATTTGAACCCGGGTCGACTGGGTCGACTGGGAGCAGAAGTCAGGCCTTAACCTCTGCCAGCCGCCTGCCTAAGCGGGTGTATATGTATGTATGTATGTATGTATGTATGTATGTATGTATGTATGTATATATGTATATATGTATGTTGTTGGTCTGTCTGTTGGGTTGTTGTTGTACATGTCGTACTGTACGTGATACTACTTTATAATTAGTAGTAGTACACATACGCAGCAGCATATGATGGCTCCGCGGGTATGTGGATATTATGGGACACGCGCATGCACGACGGTGTGGCGATGATGCACCCACGTAGTAGTTGTACATATTGTTGTTGTTGTTGTTGTTGTTGTGTATGCTCTTTTTTCCCTTCTCGTCGGACACACGATCTCTCTCTATATGCATATCTACACCAACACAATCAAACAATGCTGCTGTATCTACTTGGCACGATTTGGCACATATGTAAAGTATAATAATAATAACCCTAACGGTATATATACCAACAACAATCTCGCCGCGTGCACAAGCGTGCCAACCCGCCGATGATCCACCACCACTAAAACTTTACTGTGCCGCCTCTGCTGTGCTCTGTGATGATCAGAATAAGAATAAGGATAAGAATAAGAATAAGAATATGCGATGCGATCGCGATCGCTGGTGGGGGTCTGGTCGTCAATCCTCGACGACGTCGTCGTCGTCATCGTTATTAAAATTTTGCCGGGAAGAGTCGCTCAAAGTTTTTACAATTAGTAGTGATAAGAAAAGTAATAAGTATAAGTACGGGAGCGGAAGCGGGCACATAGCATCATCATCATTCATCATCATGTTGTTCTGCGGCACATGCATTATATATTTTACTTGAATACTTAGGGTCAACAATAATGAATGTAACAACAACAAAATAATAATCGGTACACAACAACAACGATGACGGAAACCGCAAAAGAAGAAGCACAGCAGCCGTGCTGCTCAAGTGTGCTTCGTCGTACTATACGTCATTATTATTAGTAATAAAGTGCGCCGCCCCTACTTCTCACCGCTCGCCGACGACAAACAGACAATTGAAATGAGACCGTCACAGCGAGAGCTATCAGGACGTTTTTAAAATTTTATTTATGGAGCAGGCGCCAAGTAGAAATACGGCCGCGAAGAAGCAGAAGACGACATGTGTCTAATGCGCGCGAACCACGGAACAAGACAAACACCAATCAATACACCGCAACAAAAGCACAAAGAAACAGATTTAGCGTCCTTGAAAGGACACGTCTGCAGTAAGGGCGATTTACAAGTAAGTTGTAGAATATAGACTAACGCTGCCCGGTCCAAGTCATCGGCTACTCCGCCCGGAGTGGTGAGTGAGTCTGTGCTAAGACAAATAGTAAAATTGCAGTACGAATGCGCAATTGGTGATCGCGGGTTCAAGCCACGGCTGATGCAACAATTGCGGTTGCGATTTGGTGGCTTCTTCGCTGACGTGTTATATTATTAACCGACTTGTCCAGCACAGCAGCATGAGACGATTTATTAAGCTTTCTTCAACTTTTGTTTTATAAATAATAACAATCATTGTTGAATTGTTGAAACAAGAAAATGTGTTTTTTCTTAATGTATATAACCTAACGTTTTTTTCTGCATGCTGCAGGACAGGAAGAAGCAGGAACAGCAAAACGTACGTGAGGAGGCGGCACGTGCTATTATTATTATAGAGTGCTGGCGGGAGGGGGAAGAGGAGGAGGAGGAGGAGGAGGAGGAGGAGGAGGAGGAGGAGGAGGAGGAGGAGGAGGAGGAGGAGGAGGAGGAGGAGGAGGAGGAGGAGGAGCTTCAGGCTGAGAGGTGGAGAGCAGCAGCACTGCTGTGGAGGAGGAGCAGGAGCAGGAGCAGGAGATAATGCTGGATAAAGATCGAGGCGGAGGAGCAGGAGCAGGAGTAGGAGCAGGAGCAGAAAGTAGACTAGCAGCAGCAA